TGTGGGGAGGGGACTCGTGCGTTGGCTAGTCGATATCCGCTGATTTCTAAAATAGTAGTTTCCAAAGGAAGAAAAACATGTTTCCTATGGTTTTTGAAAGAGAGAAATCGTGGAGTCCACAGGACGTAACAATATTTTTGTAAAGAAGATACTTTTGCAGGAAAGATATTTTTGTAGAGAAGGTACTTTTGCAGAAGAGATAGAGTAACATTGGAGGGGAGCGGTGCATTTGGACACAGTACAATTGAACACGCTGCAAATAGACACGGTTCGAATGGACACATTTTGGTGTACACGGTTCAATTGGACGCGGTTTATTTAGACACAGAAATTTTAGACACAGTGATTTTTGGACACATAGAAAATAAAATTTCGACACGTTGCAATTAGACAGGTTAAAAATGTACACCGTTCAGTTGTACACCATTTATTTGTACACGTGAAAGATGGACACTGTTCACCTAGACACGTAAAAATGTACACCGTTCATTTCTACATACAAAAGTTGTACACCGCTCAGATGTACACCGCTCACTTGTACACCGCTCACTTGTACATCGTGTACAAATGATGGAAAATTATCTGCTTTACAGAACAGTTAACCCGGGTTAAATATATATAAATATCCCGACTCATCTAGAGTCACAGTTTGCTTGAAATTTCATGTTATAAACACTCGAAACCTATCTAGAATACAGTTTGCCTTAAATTTCATGTTATAAACACGGTGTACAAGTGAGCGGTGTACAAGTGAGCGGTGTACATCTGAGCGGTGTAAACTTTTGTGTGTAGAAATGAACGGTGTACAACTTTTGTGTGTAGAAATGAACGGTGTACATTTTTACGTGTCTAGGTGAACAGTGTCCATCTTTCACGTGTACAAATAAATGGTGTACAACTGAACGGTGTACATTTTTGACGTGTCTAATTGCAACGTGTCGAAAATTTATTTTCTGTGTCCAAAAATCACTGTGTCTAAAATTTCTGTGTCTAAATGAACCGTGTCCAATTGAACCGTGTACACCAAAATGTGTCCATTCGAACCGTGTCTATTTGCAGCGTGTCCAATTGTACTGTGTCCAAGTGAAGGCCACTCACATTGGAGCTTATACTTGGTGCATTTCTTACCTTTTTTTTAAAAGGTAAGGTTTTTGGGTCATATCACACCTTTTGTAGTGTTAAATACTATAAATAAAATCTAGACACTATGCCTGTTAACTGGTAACTCGCTAGTTATTATTACGAGAGAGAATTTTGGGTGATATCACACCTTTTGTAGTGTTAAATACTATAAATAAACTCTAGACACTGTGTCCGTTAACTGGTAACTCGCTAGTTATTATTACGAGAGAGAACCACGAAAGAACCGATGTCCGTTTTGTATGATATTAACCGTGTGTCGTTAACCACGATGTTAGACTTCTACACAAGTCCTCAGTCCGAGAAATAGTGTAGCCAATCAAGCAAATACATTAAACGAAAAATCTGAGGGCCTGTCAAATCGCGTACTCGCGTACTCGCGTAAACTACACCCGTCGGTCTTGCGCGCTAAGTCGGTAACGTCGGTAACGTCAGTCACGTCCATAGACATATAAAAGATAGACTGCTTATGAGGTAGTGGGGGATGTCCTCCTGAGGGAAAAGGACACCAATTTATTTGGGTATCTATCTTCTTCTAGTGTACGTGATCACGTGGGCGTGAACACGTGATCGCCTTCAGATCACGTCCACTAGAGGAAGACAGATAGCCAAATAAATTCATGTTGTCCTTTTCCCTCAGGAGGATGCCCCCACCTAGGGTTCCACTGCCTCATAAGCAGTCTATCTTTTATATGTCTATGGTCACGTCAGCCGCGCTTGCGAGCGCCACGTACGGCAGAAATATGAAAAGGAGGTTGACGACGACGACGACGACGACCAGGTTTCTTAATTCTTATTCTTACGCGAAATTTACAACCGCGGACTTTGCATTGCAATATCTCCACTCATGGGGCACGTAGGAGAAAAGTAAAAACACTTTTATTATGCAAATCGTACCCAAGCTATTGATTAAGCGCAGTCTCAAGTTCGTCGGATCAGCCGTTGTTGAGATCCGAAATTCTGAGGGCCCGTCAACTCGCGCACTCGCGTAAACTACACGGTCGGTGTCGCGCGTGGTTTAGCTTGTCACTTTAAAACTTTTCGTTTATACTTGGCGCGAGACACTACCGTGTCTCGTGATATAAACGTGCATTGGAAAATAATTTTCGGTGTTCTGCCATTGTTGTTTTGCCGTTACTAAAGGCATTAATTAAAATGCTGCAATTTCAAACTGCGGTACCCATCACGCATGTAAACTTTTGTTATCAATGCGATGCGAGCTTGTTAACAAACACATTTTGTGTGCGAGCGAGTACTCGGTAAAATCGTCAGCATCGCACACGACGAAAAAAATTAACGTCATTACATTAAATACGAGTACAGAGAGGTTGATCGTTATTCTTACTGTCAGATGTTATCTGTAAACGCACGTGTTGTACCAATTTTAAAATCATGTCGCATGATAAGAAAAACATTTCAATTTCTGATAATATGTATTTATGTGCATTCATATTGCATGTACGTTTTCAATTTATTCTTTTCGCACCTGTTATTTTTCTAAAACACTTGTTTTAAAAATACGACGTGTATCGAACACGCGATCGTCTGTTGAGTGCGACCTGCATTGTTAAAAACACATATTAATATTGTAACGCAAATAATCCATGATACTAATCGTAAGTTGTATTAGAAGGTTTGTAACGACATCGATTTACCAACATTGACGCAGCGTTGGTTGCGTAGGACATGCGAACAGACGTTGCACACTTCGCGATACAAATCTGTATCCTGGCGAACGATTCCTGAATTATTCTCAAGAGAAATGTATGAAAAACTTCTGCTTTAACAAAAAAAGATGCAAGTTGATTGGCTACACATTTCTCGGAAATAAAACTTGGACCAAAGTCCTGGACCTTGGTTCTATCATCGTGGACAGACACGATAAGAGCAAATTTTCGCGTACGTTTGTTTAGCGAACGTTTCAAGAATAGTAGACGCGTCCTTTTGTATTGGGTGACATACTTTATTTGGATGATGGCTGGTATGACCTTACTGAAGAAAGAACCAATCGAAACGAGCAATTTGAGTGGCCAATCACGGCACACGATTTAATTTCTTACCACAGTTATCAATATTAGCGACAGCACTCAACGTACATTGGACTGTCGACACAGTGGTATTACACAGTGGTGTTATATCTTGTGGACAAGGGGACATTCCAAACCGACTAAAGAAGAAGGATGAACAGTTCATTTTCAATAAACCTCTTACCCTTCGTAGTGTGCGCACATTTATGTCGCATGTTAAATGCTAGAGATCTAAGGAGCGTGGGAACGATTAGCATGTACAACGTGACTACTAATCTATTAGAGACCCACGTTCTATTTAATCGTAATTATTTGTTACATTTAAATAGTATGGCTATAATTTATGTATAATTTATGAAAATACACGAGAATCCCAGATAACAATCCTTGCGCGCAAATTTTGCTTGTCTTACGCATGCAAATTTGTATGCGATTTGCCCGAGTTTTGTCCGTAAGATATGTTCAGTCTGTGCTTTTGCACGCAAGTGGCTAGCTCATGTATCAACGTATAGTTTTGCGCGCAAATATCTATCGACTCGCGTACAAAAGTGGCTCAACAACGCAAGCAAAATTCCATCCAAGTGTGTCGTCGTAATGCCAGATGTTTGCGCGCAAAATGTTTTCTGGGATGTAACCTGTATGCAGCGCATAAATTTGAAAGTGAAATTTATATTTTCAGGAACTTAGACGCAGTAAATTTCGAGATGCGAAGAGGAAGAGGCCCTTGCCTCATATATTACAAGGACCTTGGACCGTTGCCTCTTGTCGACAATTGTCTTTATCAACAAATAGAAGATGACCTAAGGAATCTAAGAATTCTTCCCAAAATAGCATTTTATTTTCTCCACAAATGGACTTCACTTTATATGCTGAGTATGTTTTATTTTACTTTGTAGTTCAAATATCAAAATGATCTCGTATTGTCCTTTAATTTAAATAGGAAACTAAATAAAAAATATAATTTTAATAGAGTACTAAAGAATGTAGTTCAAATATCAAAATGTATAATAGTTTATAAAAATTGTTTCAAATATGACATTTACTACATACTTAAAGTATGTAGTAAAGTTAAGTAATCAGAAGAATAAAATTATTTTGTCAGTAGTAGAAAGTAGATGTCATATTTGAAACAATTTTTATAAACTACATTTTAAAGGACAATACGAGATCATTGAAATAACGCTTTCATTTCTGTTTAAGCGTGTCTAGAAAATTTACTACCTGAATGCGAGGTTATATATTTATTACACAGTTATCGTGCTATTTCTCTTAATCGAGAAAGCCAGAACTGTGAACGCGTAGATTTAGCATGTACATTTTTACCAGAAATACCGGGAGTAAAAATAAAAACGTTTAAACTGCACAACACGAACGCAACAAATATATGCCAGAAATTAATTAATACAATTGAATCTTGTGAAAAATCGACGTGTTTGATGTTATTCGATAAAAACGAGTGGCACCCGTTTGGCCACGTTAATATTGTTACGTTCCGCGTGCGTCCTCGCACACTCCGGTCGCCGCGTCTCCGCGCACTCCGACCGCGAACTCAGTTCTCGAGAGTGCCCGGCACTCTTTCGCACACGTACGCGTCAAAGAGACACACCAAAATGAGAAGAACAAGAACAGAGGAACTTTATTAGAATTACTACACGTCCAGACGGCTCGAGAGCCAAGCTTCGAATCAATCGATGTTTATACACAACAGTTGCTCATCGGTATCGTGGCAACCCGCCACGGTACCGATACAATCCAGGCAGGGGGGCAGTAAAATCCTGGCAGCTTCTTCCCGACTTCGGACTTGGATTCCAGACCAGCGACCCCGGAGGAGAGTCAACCAGACTCCTCCTCCCATAGCTGGCTCCAGGGCATCCTCTTCCTGCCGGAACTCTGCCAAATAACTCCGCACTCTGCGGAACCCGCATGCCGCTCGACGATGTCCTCCTTGAGTCCTTTTGCGCACTTGACTCTTCCCTGAGTCGGCTTGTGCGCTTGACTCTTCCCTCTTCGGACAGGGGAGGGGAAACTACACAGGGACCCTTTGCCCACGCGGGCTCTCCCTGTCTCTGCCCCGGCATTCGCCCAAAGGCCACACGGGAAAACCCCGATTCTAAAAACCGTGGGCAGGGCAGTCTTCTTTATTCTTAAAGAACGTCTTCTTTTAGAGCGATCCTCCACTAGGAGTTCCTCCTCATCATCGTATGGAATTTTACTAAACCTAAAACAGAAAAACCACGCAGAAAACTTTTTGAACAAAAATCCAGGGTGTCTGTATTTACACGGGCTCCGTTCCCTAACATTAAACCCTCTCAACAAAAAGAGCCAACCTATCCGCGTGAACTAACCTACACCTATGCTTCGGCGACTTCCGAATGCAGAAAACAACGTCACTAAGCCTCTTGACTATTAAGAAAGGGCCCTCCCAACTGGACTGTAACTTGGGAGCCTTTCCTCTTTCTCTCTTTGGATTGAATAACCACACCTTTTGTCCTTCCTGAAAAAGAATTTGTCTAACACCTTGATCATAGCGCCTTTTCATCCGTGAAGACTTAACCTCCATACGTTCCCTCACACTTGAATGGATTTGATCTAATTTTCCTTTTAAGTTTCCCAAAAAGCTTTCTTTCACTTGATCCTCCTTTCCACAGATAACTGGAGGGCAACCCCGAAGAAGGTACAAAGGTAGCCTAAGATCACGACCATAGCATAATTCCGAAGGAGACACTCCTGTAGTTTCGTGTTTTGAAGATCTATATGCCAGTAAAAACATAGGAATCCAACGATCCCAATCTTTTTGATTGTCTGAAATAAATTTTGCCAGAAAATCGAGAATTGCTCTATGTTGGCGTTCAACTTGTCCATCTGATTGCGGATGTAAAGGGGTAGTCCTAGTTTTCTTAATTCCAAGTAGAGTCATTATTTCTGAAAACAGCTTGGATTCAAAGTTCCTACCTGGATCAGTGTGGACTTCGCCTGGTATTCCGTGTCTAGAAACTATTTGATTAGAGTTCTGAAGCATGGAAAAACTTCCGGTAAAATTGGAAAAATTTCCAGGTTTTTTGGAAAAATTTCCTTCGCATTTTTTTCCAAGAAATATATGGAAAAATTTAATTTTTTGTATTTTTTGCTTCAACTCTATTAAAAACTTATAGAGACCGCAGAAAACTAATGTCCTTCTTCATGTTGACATGAACTATATGCTGTAAATTACTATATTGTGTTAGTTTTGATAAAATTCTGAGGGATTTTGTTCAGGAAGGAAATCTCATATCTATCAAAATTTTCAAATTATGTTGTTATTTTTTAAAATAACATTTTGGAAGGTTGAGAAACAAAAATATTATTATTATTATATTATTAAGAGATTGGCAAAATTGACTTTGTGTAAGTACTTGAATTAAAAATAATATTAAGCCGAAGAATAACAAGAATAAACGCAATAACAACAAATTAAGTACTTACATATTCACAAAATAGCACTATACAATAGTAAGATTCAACACATAGTTCTTTCCACTATCATTTTACGAAATGATATGCCAGCTATCCGATATTACAGACGCTTACCCAGTGAGAAATGATTCGTCGATCGACGTCGAAACGACGTCGAATCGACATC